CTTGAATGTTAGTTGACAAATGGTTTTAATGGAGAAAGCGGTTGCTATTCAGTTTTGCCATTGGTGACTTTACAGCTTTTGCTTAAAGATGGTCTGTAATGTCTTGTTGACAGATCATTATCAATTACAAGTACATCGCCACTCTGGCTGTAGGATGCTTTCTGAGGTGAGGAATTAACAAAGCAGGTTAAGAATTACCACTAAATACAGAAAGAAGTCGGTTTTATAAGCATTTTAAAGCCAATTGTAATATTCCAATATTCCAGTCCTTGTGACTATATTTTTTGCATATACCTTTTAGGGATATTAAATCTCGATCTTATAGTTTTATATTAAACCCATGTATGCCAAAGATTGCAGTTTTTAAAATTTTTTGCATAAAATTCATATATGTTACCTAGGATAATTCATTTTGAAGAGAAAAAATTTTATTATGTTCTGTTGTTATGGGCGTTCCAAAAATGGAACACTAGGCACAAAAGGATTAAAAGTACTTGATGAAAACCATTCCTTTCTGCAGGACGCCATACTGAATATGATGTTTTGTTTGATATTTTGTGTGTGTAATGGGTGACTTATGACATGGTTTTAGGATAGTGCCTTTACTTTCTTTTCCCTTTTAAGTTCAAGGCATATTCTATGACTATAATTTGGTTGTTGTCATCCCTAAGATCTTTGAAAGGACTTTTGTTAAAATAAATGAAAAATCAAAACCTCTGATGTTAATATCCTGAATTGAATTCTGGGAAAGAAAAATGACATTAATGAATAACTAGGAAAACCTGAATGAGGTCTTTAGTTTGATTAAGAGTAATAATGTACTTGTGTTAGTTTCTTAGTTTAGATAAATTCTGTGGTTATATAAAATATGAACCTAGTGGAAGCAAGGTTTAAGTATATGGGAACTCTGTTGTAGGAATTTAACTCATTAGAGCCTGTAAATATATGGATATATAATTACGTAGTTTGAGTTTATTAATTTAGGGAAAGATTAGTGACAGTTACACTTGAACCCATTTATAGTTTGTAATATTACAATTAAATTAAAAGTCCAACAATAGAAACACATATTTTTCATATGGAAGTACCAAGTTCTAAGTTTAGTCACTGAAGAATGTGTCTAGCGCCGGCGATTTAGCTCAGTGGTTTTGCCTGCCTTGCAAGCCCAAGGACACGAGTTTTAGATCCCCAGTGCCAAAAAAAAAAAGTCTGCTCATTTTAAGTTGTTGTTTTTAAATTTTCCAGATGAAAGTTTATTGTAGACAAGGGTAACATCTTCATTTATTTTAGTTTCATTTTAAATTCTGAAGATGAAAGCATCATCTACATGAACATAGGGGCAAAATTCATCAGTTTATAATATTGCTGCTGACATTAGTTGATAATCTGTTTGAGGGCCTGCTAAGAATAGAAATGTTTAGGGACTGTGGGGAATTAAGAGAAATCATTTTATCTGTTGTCTTGGGTTAAGTGTCACAGAAATGTTCTTGAACTTATTTTTCTCAGAGTTTAGAGATGTGTTTGCTTTAGCCAAGGTGATTAGGATAGTCTCTGGATCGTGTTGCACACAAGTGTGCCAAGTAGTTTATGCTAGTTTATAGAAGATCTTGAATGCTAAGCAATTTGAACTTTGAATTTCAGATAAAGGGTCTGTGTTTGGTAGTGAGTAATCTTTGTGAGGGAACAACATATGTGAACACATGATAAAAATAGACCCTGTAAGGTAATAGACAGGATATTGAAAGAGGCCATGTAAAACATGGGCTGTGTTGAGATAAGTGAGTAAAACAGATGAGTAATGTGGGGATTGTTCTAAAACATAGAGTGACACAAATTTAAGGCAAAAAAACTGCTCTTGGTGATGCATTACAGGCTCATAGGAACTGAAATGAGCTAATGGAGACTTAAACTGCATGTGTGGAGTTTCAATAATCTGGCTAGTCACAGTAAAAACGTAAAAAATTATTTGCGAATTCACCAGACTCAGTGATTATGAATTACAGGGATACAGAAACAATGGTGACTGATAACTTGAGTCAGTTCATGTTGCCGGTGAGTCTTTTGGCACTTATTTTCATTTCAATTAATGCTGTTTTGCCTAGTGGAATTCTCTGGCAGGAAGTTTGATTAAGGGTAGGCAAGCTTAGGAGATGGAGGTGTAGAATTTAATTGGCACATAGGCAAGTGATATCAGAGAGGCTAAAGGAGAAAAAGCCCAGAAGGAAATGCATAGAGAGAGCCTGGCCATAGTGATCTCATCACTCTTGAAGCAAATGGAGGAGTTTCATCTAAGAGTTTCATTCATCTGTGGCTGCAGAGAGGTCACAGATAAAGCTGAAATTTTGAATCAGTCTGAGTGATCACCCCCAACCCAGTCTCGCGAGAACAGGGACTTGGTGAGATTGACGTAAGTCTTTAGAGATATAGGGATATAGACACAAAGCAGTAGCCGAAGATGGCAAAAGAAGGTTATTTTTATTAAATTAATCAAACACTTGTCAAGTCCCAGTTGTGCATAAGCGCTGTGTGAGAGGCACTGGAGGACACAAAATGACTAAAATATAGTGGGGTTTTTTGTGTGCCCTGAATAAGTGCTGCCCCGAATTCTTTTGATTCTGCCTGTGCACTTCTTAGACAAAATGTTAAGAGACTCTGGTATTGCGCTTATAAGCAGAAGGACAAAAATCAGTGACCGAGAGCATGTTGGAAATGTGAGGGAGAGAGTGGAGAATTGAAGAAGCAATGAAACAAAGGGAAAAAAGATAAGGTGGCTGTGCAGGCAGGCAAGGGTCAGCCTTGGAAAGAAAAGGAGCCTCCTCCTACAGTGGGTATAAAGGAAGAGGGGAGACTGGGACCTTTTAGAGCTGTTGAAGTCGAATGTCAGGAAATCTCTACTATGAATGCCGTGTGCAAAACAAATTGGGATGTAGTTTCTGCCTTTGAAAAGGATCTGATCGAATGGAAAAATGAAGTAGTTTCTGCTTCATTTTTATCCCGTGAGAGAATAAATGCAAAAAAAACCCACTTAAATCATTGAAAGTATTGGTTTTGGCTGAGCGGTTGTTTTTTCAATGTCTGATGAAACATTTTTTAAAATGTATCATACTGTATGAATGTTTCAGTGTCTGCAGTTAGCTAGATTTAGAGTTTGTGTCAGATGCAGACTCAAAGATTTTGGACTTAAGGAGGGGAGGTCAGAGAGACATACATATAGGCTCTCAAATTTCTGCCAGTTGAATGGAAAGGTAGAAAATGCATGTGAAATATTGGGAGAATTTAGAGAAAAAAGAGATTTAGAACAATTTCCTGCCAATAAATCAAACAAGGTTTTAGAGCAGATTTGCCAGGCACTTGCCTACATTTCATGTTTGGTGTTGTTCTTCTTATTTTCTACACCTTGAGGAAATATAATTGCGTGCTCATGCTTTTTGGCCATAGCTAAATAATAGTATGTAAAGAAGCACGAAGATGATTTTAGCCAAAGGAAGAACTATCTAATTTTAAGACAACCCAGTTAGGCAAAGCTTTGTCAGGGCTTTGAGTGTGTGTGGGGGGAAGGCTCTGTGGGTGGTGGAATATTGTAAGTACTGCTCCCGTTTTCAATTCAATGTATGCTAACTCATTTTAAGTGTCTGTAATTCATTTTATTGAGTACATTTTAAGTGCATGTAGCCAGAAAATGGGTGCGGATAAATAGGAGAAAAGAGCTAATTAATACTGTATTTTGATACAGGAAGACATTTAGAAGAAGAAAAGATAAACGTAAATGAGAGAAAAAGTTCACTTTTTTCTTTGATGTATTTTAAAAAGGCATTTCAAAGTCTTTCTTACTGGAATAATTTTAAGAGCTATTTTGTGAAATCTTGCTTAGAAAACTAGAGAAGGGACTCTGATTCTCTTAGGTTAGGCCCAATGCGATTTATTTAAAGGCAGTAATTAATACTGAAGCACTACAAATGTTACTCTGAGAATTACCCAGCATTTTTTTTTCCGGCGGACTGTTGTTAGCAGGGCTTGCAGCTGAAGGGATTCCTGTTGAGGGATATATTTAACTTCTAATTCTCCCTTCTCCTCCTCTTCCCCCTTTCCACTCTGAAGAGGCAACCGAGGCCTGCCCACAACAACTCTGCAGCAGCGCTTGAGGCAGACTTGGCTGAGGTCAAGCACTCCCATCCCGGCCTCTCGAGGGGTTTCTCTGTGTTGCCAATGTGCTGGTAAAAATGACTTTAAACTCTTGTCAGTGCAGTTACTGGTGCATGCATCACAGTGCCACTCAAATAAACCTGTCACAACACCGAGCCGGCCGCTGGAGAAGAGTAGAAGGGCAGGCCTCTAGCTTTTCATTCGAGCATCACTAAACGTGCACAGAGTGCCCAATTATTTCAGCGTTATTGAGCAAGCCTACAGGAGGACCCAAGCCTTGCTACATTAGATTTTCTTTAGTAATTTACTCAAGTACCGCTGAGGACACTTAAAGGGCTTAAAACGGTGGCTGCAACCAGTTTCCTTTTCTGGGTTGTTAATTCAGGTTTTCTCTTTCAAATTAACTCGGGCTGCATGCTGTGCAGTGGTTCTGGGAGAACTGTTTGACACTAGTTTTCTCAATTTTCAGCTTTTTTTGTTCAACATAACTGCTTTAACAGTTATTCATGTATATGTTTTGATTAGAAATATATGATAGCTAGGCTTCTTTTTTTTTTTTTGAAGAACAGAATATAGGGGCTTTTTAAAAGAAATCTGATTTCCAGCTCTTCAAAGTAATTTCATTTTTTAAAAATTAAGTTATTTACCCTAGATGCTCAAAAATCTCCAAATTGAAACAAGAAAGGTAGCAATTATTGACTATGCATCTCTCCCTGACTTTTTCAAAAACCACATTAGGGGTAAATATTTCCTTTGTGGGTGCTAGAGTTTTCATCTTCCATTTGCCCCTCCTTTTTGGTGGGGGTGAGGGGTGAATATAGGGAACATATTCAATATCTGGGTCTGCTTTTTCACAGCAGCAACAACTCCAGGCTCAGCATTTGTCACATGGACATGGTCTGCCAGTGCCTCTAACGCCGCACCCTTCAGGGCTCCAGCCGCCTGCCATCCCACCCATCGGTAGCAGTGCTGGGCTTCTCGCCCTCTCCAGTGCCCTAGGAGGTCAGTCCCATCTCCCAATTAAAGATGAGAAGAAGCACCACGACAATGATCACCAAAGAGGTGAGCCATGCTTTTGCAAGGTTGGGCTGGGGCTACCTGCTGCTGAGGGTGGGTTCTAGATGCCATGGTTGATTCTGAGTTAAATTTGACTAGTGACCAAATTCTGCTAGAAGGTACATTCATGACTGGATGCAGTCCTTTGCCGAATGACACTTCTGTGGTTGGCAAGAATAATCCTATTCCCCAGAGGCAGAAGTCTGTTTCCTGATTGTTGTCATTCAGGCCTTGCGACATACTACAACTCTGTTGCCCAAGTGTTAATCAGTAATAAAGTCCTGTGATTGAAATAGTATGTTCCATTAATTACTAATTGTAACCAGACTTACTTTGGGGAAAGACTTACTGATGAAGGCTCACTGGATATTTGACCAGATCAGCTATTACAAATCCTACAAAACTTCATAGTGCTGTAAATATCTCACAAATAAGAAAACACTTCTGTTAGTCTAGATAATTGAGAAAGAGAAATGACACATTAATGAAGTCAATTAGCTTAACTGCCTTTCTCACTTAGTCTGTTTAGAAACATTAAATATATCTTAATTTCTCACAATAAGAATAACACAATTATTTACGCCATTAATTGATTTAAAGGCCACTTGCACTTCCTGTAGATTAGCTTCCTTCTTTGCTAAGGAAGATGATGATACACAGAAATATTGATGTGACTACAGTTTGTGTGCTCATTACAAATAATTCTAATGTAAAAAAGCAAGCGCAAAATTCTCTCCCAGCATTCCTTTGTGGGAATTTACTTAGTACATGGGTGGGTCATTGGTTTACAGGATGTGGTTGATAATTAGAAGCTCTTATCTACTCCTCTTTCAGTATCATTACCATGTATTATAATCTTGGCTAAATTATTTTTGTCACATAAACTAAATATACCATCTCTTATGTTTAGAAATCTTGTAATATTTGCCTTCCAGTTATCTTAATGCTATGGTACAGAGTTGACTCATGAATGTAAATACTTTTATAAGTGGAAAAAATCAATAAGATACATAAATAAGGTCCAGTTTTGGTCCTTCTGAAATTGTGTCAAAGGTAGATTGGGGCTTTGTGAAATCTGGTAGAGTTGTATTAATAATTAACTTCACAGCACAGTTGACATCTGTGCAATTTATTATTTAGGAGAGATCAAGTTGGATAAATGCATGATTTTTGTGTAAACTAACTGGTACTTTTCTTTTTTCCTTCTTCCCACCACTTTATCTGCTTGTATTGCTGCTGTTTTGGCTATAGACAGAGACTCCATCAAGGTAGGACTCAAAATGCACAGATAAATGCCTTCTTAAAGGGGCTCTAAGTGCTCGCTTCGGCAGCACATATATTAAAGGGGCTCTAAATGATTGAAGCAAATCAAATAATAATAGAGCTTTTGAAGTTTGGAGAATAATATGGTGAGCTTTCACCAAAGAATATTTAACTGACTTTCCAGCATTTGGTTGATATTTTTTTGAAAATGTGGTCTAATTTCTCTATCAAAATCAGATTGGTAGAACAAAGTTGAATTATAAGATCAGGCTTGCATTGCTCATTATATTATGTCTTCTTGTGTGAAAAAAAGTAACTCCTCTTCACTTAGGCTTTTGCAATAAGACGATGAGAGAAGTAAATAAATTGATTTAAGGAAATGCATATCAGCTTCATTTTTTGAAAAACAATTCCACTCTACAAAATGCTTCATCAGAATATTTGTTTGCATGAACATATAATTCATTAGAATATGGGCTTGTCATGTGTGAGGCCCTGGGTTCAATCCCCAGCACCTCAAAATAAGTTTTTCAAAACTACCATTTGTTTAAGAACATTGCTATTTACCAGAGAGCCTTTTCTTTTTCTTTTTAACATCTTGGTTTCCACTGTGGTAGTTAATTGTCTGTGTTTGCATCTTTCTTACCTGCCTTCCGTATTTCTTTATAGAAAAGTTGTGGGGAAACAGCAAAGGTATTTAGGGCATAATGGTTTGTATATACTTATGTAACATCAAAGCCGGATATGCTAAAGATACTTCTTGAATTTCTTTACTAAGCAAACACAAAGAACAGTCTGCAATCACAGGAAGTGAGCAAAGTGTGAAAGTTGAAAGTTGCTTTGATCACTTTTGAGCCAGGTACAATGCAAATATGCCATTGTATTATGCATGATTATGTTACATATGCTACTGAATGACTTATTGATTACAAAGGAAAGGCAATTCTCAAGTGCTGGCCAAAGTACAGATTCTGTCAGCCCTCTTTTTGAATTTTACAACAACAATTTGAATGTTGTGGACCATAGTTAAACCTCTTCCAGGTTTTAATGAAACTGTGTATAAGAAGACTAAAATGTTTCCCTGTAACAGTGTTGGCTATTATTATGAATGTTTCTTTACCCTTGTTCTTTAACAGAAAACAAACATTTTTTTTAAGGTTTTTTTTTTTTTCTCTCCCATAAATAATGGAAAATACAAATTGAGTGGATCTATTTTATCCTTCAAAAATCTTTGTTAGTTTGAAAGGACATTTGCAATTCCATGTAAATGTCAGCATTTAGAATTGAAACTGTAGGTATTACATTATTTAATGATGCACTTACAGTTTTGCATTCTGTTGCATAACATGTATATCAGTACCTAGATTAAAACAAAACAAAACACTCTTAAGTGTTCCATATATGTGTACTTTGCAAATAGTAACTAAAGCAATGACCAGGATTAACTGATAACAGCCCTAGGAAAAGCCTGTCTCGTTATTCTGAGGCCATAATATAAACATTACCTGGTTTCTTGTGATAAAATACCTTTAGGCAGGCCAGTGAACTAAACAAAAGCCTCCTCTCATGGCCCACTCCTAGCAGTCTGAAAATATTTATACTCCGGTGCACACTTTTATGTCAATTACATTATATATTCCCTCATGCAAGAGTCGGGTGTATTCTGAAATCGTCTGTAATCATTCATAGTGAGTCTGGAAGTGCTAGAAGCCAGGGGAAAAACAAAAAGAGATTAGAAGTAGATGGTTTTGCCTTGATTTATTACAGAATAATGACCAGGGTAGGGGGGCACATTCTCAAACTTGAAGTTGCTTTTTATCAGGTCTGGGGTTGTGCTGTAGTTTTATAAGGTGAAATAGTTTGCTGATTTTCTTCAGTGTATTCTGTGATGCTCAGAAAAGCAGTCAGTTGCTTGTTCCATTGATCGTCCTTATCCTCTTATAAGTGATTCCTAGTTAAGAGGGGCTTTTATGATTGTCGGCTGTGTAACTCAAGCTGATTTTTATCAGCCAGAGTGTGCCAGTTGCCTGCAGCTGGAATTGGGCTTGTATGAAGTAATTTATTCATGCAGGATAATGCTCCTTAACATTTAACAGGTAATGAACGTGACATAAATTTCCTTCTTGCTTTTAATTTTTCCCTTTCCTCTTCTAATGTGCAAACAGGCAGCTCTGGTACTCTAAATAATAAGTAATTTTTGGCCATCTGTCAAAGGGAAATTTCAATACAAATTTAAATTAATGGTGCCTGAAATTTTTTATAGCTCCTCTAAAAGCCTCTAGTGTGCAGAAAATTCTGAATCTGCTGGTAGTAATTAGTGTTGCATGTAATGAGGACGTGGGCAGTGTTATACAGCCCCATTGTAACATTTTGATATGGTAGCAAAATTTTGATTTATATAAGGCTGTGGATGAGTTTAATTGTGAGAGACACTTTAAAAATGTTTTCTTGACTTTACAGATTATTAAACAGGGCAGATTTCAGAATAGCTTATAAAATATAAATTTAATTTTACTGTAAAAATTCAAGTAATTAAGGTGCTTTACCTTTAGGTGCCAAGTGGAATGAAAGAAATCACTCGTTAAATTGTTGGGCCTTTTCCCTCCTTTTCTTTTCTCTTCTTGGAAGTTCTGTGGCCACTAAATCACACGCTATTGGCTTTATTGATCTTGTTTTCTGCAGCTCCAGAGCCAAGTTTATTCTTAAGCCTGTTATTTGCAGACTTCTATCTGAAGTTTTTCAACAAGGGTGGAGAATGTAAATATGGACCTAAAGGAGAAAGCACCATAGGAGTCCAAGAATCAATTTCCTGGGTGATGAGAAACTGGAACAGTGTATGTAGCAAGGCTATTGAAGTAAGGGCCACAACCTCTGCAACCTTGCTTTTTTTTTTTTTTTTTGGTACCGGGGATTGAACCCGGGTCCTTGCGCTTGCAAGGCAGGCCCCCGAACCGCTGAGCTAAATCCCCGGCTTTTCTTCTTTCTTTCTTTTTTTTTTTTTTTTGGTACCGGGGATTGAACCCGGGTCCTTGCGCTTGCAAGGCAGGCCCCCGAACCGCTGAGCTAAATCCCCGGCTTTTCTTCTTTCTTTCTTTTTTTTTTTTTTTTGGTACCGGGGATTGAACCCGGGTCCTTGCGCTTGCAAGGCAGGCCCCCGAACCGCTGAGCTAAATCCCCGGCTTTTCTTCTTTCTTTCTTTTTTTTTTTTTTTTGGTACCGGGGATTGAACCCGGGTCCTTGCGCTTGCAAGGCAGACCACTGAACTGCTGAGCTAAATCCCCGGCCAACCTTGCTCATTTGTCACTGACTGTCCAGTAACTCTACATGCCCAATGTTGAGTCTTAACATTTGAGGCCTGAAAATAGACATTCAGACCATGATGTAGTTTTATCCTTAATGATAGGGTTGAAAGACCAAATTTAGCTCTCGAGCGAGCCCACAAACTAGGTTCCTCTTCTAAGCGGAGCTTTCTCTTGGACCTGATAGCCCTCTGCCTGACCTTCCTACTGATAGGGGCAGATATATATATGATTGGCTCTAAAATGTCCTCCATAGTTGACGTTCCCACACTGTCAAGTGCCTTCCATGTGCCACAGGTACCAGTTCATGAAAGAGAGTCAGGCTTTGAGTCATCAGGCTGTCAGGTCACTCTCCACACTGCATCCCAGAGGGGCTGAAATGAGGGTAATGGTTCAATGTGGAGAAAGGCCAAACTGCCTAAAACTTGGTAGGAAGTTGAGAAATTAGAGTCTTGTCACCCTACCCTAATCTCCAGTGCTTTCGTGGCTCTAATATAGATACCAAACTCAAGACCCATCTTACCTTCAAATGGCAGAATTAATTGTCCTCAAAACTAATTAGCTCCATGACCTCTCCCAAGTTACTGTTATTGTGCATTTTTTTATTATGTCCATTTTATATCAACATAGTCTTCTAATGTTTCATCTTAAGGCAATAACCTCTGATTTGACTTGTGCTTTGCCAAATTGACCTCCAAAACCTCTATACCAATTTAAAATGCCAAATGTCATGTTGGAGTATGTTGCCAGACGACATGCCAATATTGAACTTCATAGTTTTTGTAATTTTTGCTAGTGTAATGAGTCTTCATGGTGCAGTGTTTTTAAAAAAATATTTTCAAGCCAAATACTTTTTCTGTGCGTTTATATTATGTGTATTTTATCCCATGTGAATTTCTTTTTTTGTTTAAAGGTTTTCATACTGGTTTGTTTTTACTTGTGTTTAAGCCAGTCCCTGCTTATTCTACTCTGTATTTTGGCTTTTGTTCTGGGTGGACAACTCAAGCATCACATGTTGTAATTCTGTTTTCTCTCCAGTTATTCTCTGTTAACAATAAAGATTTATCAGTGGAAAATTAGAAGAAGGTTATTTTTGTGTGCAAATTGAAGTGTTTGCTTCAGACCAAGAACACCTCATTAGTTGGGTGTTACAGGTGAAAGTCGGTTGTTTTCCTAAATTAGAATTATTACTTCTATTTGCTCCTTCACTTTGCACAATGAAACAATGGTCAAGGTGCTATGCCAAGGTCTTGTGTAACCTGTGTGACTTGCCACTCACCCTGTACCTGCTTTCCCTGCCTCAAACGAATGCCTGTGTAGAAGGAAGGTGCTTTTAACACGTTTAATCCTTCGAAATGATCTATGTGAGCCAGCAGCAGAGAAGAAGCCTCTTTAAGGAGAAAGGGGGCCAGGAGGAAAGACGTGGTCATTTCAGCTTTGGGGAAGAGCCAGGAGTCCCACCATGCCACATCAGGAAAATAAGGTGGTTGAGAACATTCTGTAGTTTTTTTCCATCAGGTGACACTCAGCAGCAGCATTCCTCACATTTTCAGTCCTGTCCTATAAAGTCACAAATGAAGACTCCCGAATTGCTTCAGAAAGTAGCAAGAACAAAAAGAGTTTTTAATGCAAGGGGGGACATTTTGAAAAAGATTAATGGCAATGTGTCTTTTACTGTAATATATTTAAAAGAACTTACACTGTAT